CATTGCAATATTTCTTTGTGATTGCTACTCAAACTCTCTGTATGTGATGCGTTTCCCTGGTTTCCCCTACAGAACGTGCATGCTGCCGACAGTGACCCCACAGCCCCTCCCTATGACTCTCTCCTGGTGTTCGACTACGAGGGTGTCGGCTCAGACGCAGGTTCGCTCAGTTCAGTCGACTCCTCGGACTCGGATGAGGAGCAGGACTTTCAGAGCCTGAGCCTGTGGGGGCCGCCTTTCAGCATGCTGGCTGACCTGTACACGGGGGGGTCGGACGACGACGACACAGAAACACTGCCAGGAGTAACAGAATGGGTCTGACAGAGATCTTATAAATATGTGTCCATCTGCCAGAGGTCCTCACAGTGATGTATTTCTGTTGCCTTCTGGGGCCTTTTGGATGAGATGCTCATGCTCTGAGTTATTCTTAGCGTTATTCTTAGCGCTCGTGGCTTTGTTTAATGCAGAAAATCTACTGGTAGACAATGACATTTAAAACAATATCATATTTAATAGAATTTGTGTTCTGAGCCTTTGTTGATGTTGTCACACTGTTCAAACTACACCTCAGATATTTTGTATTTGACTATATTATTGTTACATTTGTGTTTTAGTCAACTTTTGTTTATCAATTATCATTAATTAATTTTACTTTTCCAATGCACTTTGCTATTGCTCTGCCAGAATAGATCAGGCTACAAAAAACAATATCATATATCTAATCTTCAATCTGGCTTTTAATGTGTGATTGTTTTTGTATTATTTGACTTTAACTTTAACTATATATTTATTTGTTGTTCCTTTATTTTATTTTATTTTCTCTTCACTATATATGTAAAGCGTCTTTGAGCACCTGTAAAAGCGCTAACAAATTAAATCTATTATTATTATTATTATTATAATCCTGTTTTTCTTTTCAATTTATTTTTAAAAGATGTAGTTACTTTTACCCTCATCGTATCCTGTTCTTACACATTTTATGATTAAGTTAAAAATAATTAAAGTTTGTTATCATTTAAAAAAATGTTTTTACATAAAACAAATGATATCATGCTATTTGAATAAAGAGGCTTAGTTGCAGAATGTTATGTTGTTTTATTGAAAGTAATGTAAAAATGGACAATATTTAAGATAATGTAGCAGGGTTCTGTGTGTAGAGCAGGATAATACTATAGTGGAAGAGCTCATAGAGACAACACTTACATTAGACTCCATGACATAGAATGATGCAATGATATTTAAAACAATTAGTTGATTGGTGTGTAGCCTGATTGCTGGATGATTGAATTCTTTCTCTATTTTTTCATTTACATTTCACATTTATTCGTACATCTGAGGAGTTGAGTTTCTTTAGAGTGGTATGTATTCTTGGCTATTAAGACACAAAGAAAAATCCTAACCAGTTTCTAAAAGGAAACCAGTCCTCCGCTGTCACAGTAAACTTTGTCTACACGCTGATAAGCTCTTGACCAGTGAGCTCCCTGTGTCATTTCCTCAATAGTGGACTTTAACCGGTCCTTATCGACACACTCCCGTGAACTTTAACCCCTGGATCTGCTGCACTACACTGAGGAATAACAGCGGCGAGAAAATGATCTGTTTAAATGTTTCTTATTTCAGCTAGAAGACATATTCTATTCTATATGAGGGCATGTGGATGAATGAGTGGAAGCTGTACAACATTTGTGGAAGGTAAGAAGCTACATGGATAGAAATCAAGAGTAACAACTGAACAAAGGTGTGTTGGCTGACTGATTACCTTTAGCAACCATTTGTTTTCCTATAAGTTAACCTCTCCCTCGCAACAGATGACGCAGAACATGTTCCAGGAGGGGTTGTACCAGGTATTTTTTAAGGAGACACCCTTAACCCACCCACCGACCCCGGCTACCAATCACAGCGAGCTACTTAACGGCAGGATTCATCGCTGGTTTGGGACGGTGGTTAATACCAGACTATTAGTCACTGGGGTGAGATTCTACTATCATGTGCTTGTCGAAACCATTAGTATGTTTGATCTATTAAACTGTCGGCCTGCTTCATACCATGTACTTCCTTCAGGTGGTGCAGATCCTCAGTGCCTTATCTTGCATACTGGCCACAGTCACCCATGCATGTGTCAGCTACAACTGCTCTGTATCCATGACAACACCTGTGTGGTCAAGCCTGTTTGTGAGTCCACATCTACTTCCGCTGAAATAAACTCAGACAGAGAGAGAGTCAAACACTGGGTCATAACTGTGTGTGTTGTTACAGTATGTGGCTTCTGGGTGTCTGGCAATGGAGGTTCAGAGGAAGGCTGATAAATTAAAGGTTAATATTATGTTTTATGATTTAAAATGTCAGTTTTTCAGCTGCCTCGTCTAATTGTGCATTGTGAATCCTGAACAGATCATCGCTCTGATGGGTCTGAACCTCTTTAGTCTGGTGTTTGGCGTCTCTACTCTCCTCGCAACCGGCCTCAGCTCCACACAGCATGTCGCACTCAACACCAACCAACAGGTAAATCTATGTAGCATGGACACTGTATAAAGATCATTCTGACTTTTTTAAGGTCACCTATTATGCAAAATTCACTTTTTCATGTCTTTTATACATAAACATGTAGTATAGAGGGGACCTCTGTGGAAAGAGATTCTGAAAGTTTCAGGAATAAAGATTCTCTCTCTCTTTGTCCTGATCCATTCATATAAAAACCTGTCTGAAAATGAGCTGATCAGAATTTAGCCACTTTATGATGTCATAACGTTTTTTTGGGTTGTGTAACCATTAGCCAATCACCAACCAAGGTAACTCTCCACATTTCTCCAAATAGCGCATTGGTTCATATGTTGCAAAGGGAAGCGCCATGGCGTTTGCTATACAGTGTCTTTTGGCATCAGTCTACATACTTTTCCTGTCACTGAGGGGCCTGCGTCGCTACAGTCCCAATATTCAGGCCTACAGCCGCATCTCACAGGTAAATATTGCAGGGTATGAGTATTAGAATAACATGAGGATAAAAAAGGGATGTGTTCAACATTAACTTGGATGCTTTGTTTTGGTCATTTCAAATACAGTTTAACTCTGTCTGCCGATTGGCAGTGATGATGACATATATTGTTGGATTTAAAGGGGTCTGAATTGTAATTTGTTTTCTGCTCAGGATCCAGATGAAACCAATGGGCCTCTACTGGAAAATGTGGAATTCAGTCTGTGAAACTGAAAGACCTGAAACGACACACTCCTGCCGCAATATTTTTGTAAACTCAGTTACTGTTGTTGATCAGGGTCTGTATGGCTGGTATGAATAGGTTGTGCAATGTGATTGTGTTTGAGGAAATGTTATTAGATATTGTGAAATCATACCGTGTCACCTTACAGAGGCCTCAGTATCACTTCTCCTTGGGAATCCCACAAAAATAAATGATTAACTTGTCAAAAGCGAAGATTAAACATACAAAAACAGAACATGTTAAAAAAGAAAGGGTGTATATAAAACACAGTAATGATGACATTCAATTAAATAAAGTACATGCATGTTTTTACAGCAGAGATATCATAATCTTACATTGTCAAAACTGATTATCGTTTTTCACAGACAGTGCTCTGTGTTCAACACTAGAGGGCAGCATTGCCTGAGATTTGTCATGTTGTGCAGTGTGTGATTTACTTCCTCTGTTCAGTGTAACAATAGATGAGGAAACTTTGTAACAAGTAAGAGTTGTCTGCGGCACATGTTGATATATTGAAGAGGAAACAAACGTTGCTGCAATGATTTAACTATAAACTCTTCGACCACACTTGGTCTTTCTAAAGTGAATTCACTGTTTTAATCTGATGATAATTGAGAGTAAATAAATATGCTGTTTTACTAAATCTGCATTGATCTGTTTAATTAGACTAGTCTTGATTTCAACATTCTTTTACCCTGACCTCGGCTTAAACCATAAAACCAAATACCAGCCCTAAGACTGCCCTTTAACAGTCTTGACAAAATGTCATAATGTTGCAAAAATGTCCTGACTTTTATGGCTTGAAACTGGTCCTCACAAAGATAGTCCTAAGGTTCATAGAGTACAGACAGAGTCAAGGGTGTGGTGTGTGTGTGTTTTGCAGTGATGGAGGGTTTCATTAAGGATAAAGCAAGGTCATACACCACTCTCATAGTAAGCGCACACACACCCACCCACACACAAACAGACTTGTAGGAGAAAAAAGAAATCACTGAGGAGCGAGTTTCTCACGGCATGTCTGGCTAACAGCTTCCAGCTGTTGCCTGGTCGGGAGAGCTGCTATGGGAACACACAGAGTACAAAGAAAACCATGGGATTCATTGCTAAATGGACACAGAAGGAGAATAAAAGAAAGCAGCAGGATGACGAGGTAGGGTGTCCAACCACTGACATCTGACTCCTCTGATAGAAACCACTTTTCTGTGTGATATAGCATCAAAACTGTGTGTTTGTCGTCTGTGTATCTGGTGTTTCATGATATCAGCGTACATGTTGAGTTGTAGAAACAATCCATTTGTTTAGATGTCTGCATTTCCTGCCAGTACACTTTAATCATGGTTCAATGTTGCATTAACACAGGGAGAAATTGTACAATGTGATCAGAGGTAGAAGCCAAACACAGTGGCCTGCAAATCAAAAGCTACAAGTGCGACACAAAGCCCGCCTTTGCATCCGGGCAGCTGTTTAATCTCGAGGTTGGGTGGTGAGTAATATATTTTGTCTCTGGAGTATATCTTCCTTCTGGCTCCACAGGAAATCCTTCTAGCCCAGTTGGAGTGTATTGTAGTGGCTGAGGTCTGGATGTGATGACAGAAGAGTGAGTGTGTCCGGAGGAGAGGAAGTGGTGAGTACATGAGGGGATCCCCTTTGATAAGTCACACTGATAGTCGATCGTTCAGCAGAATGCTTCTGATCTGAGACCCCTTGTAGTGAGTCAATATCTAAATATCGTCATGATTTTAATTTCTGAATGAAAGAGAGGGAAAAAAACAGACAAAGGCGTAATCTTGAGAACATTCATCAATAATTTATTTTTCTTACTCTCAAGAACCACCACTGCTTCTCATCTTGAAAATTCATCATCAATTTCCAACAACACAGTTTTGAAAAATGTAAAGTTACTATACAAATTTTTAATAGAAAAAAGAATAAATTAACTGTGGAACTCAGTTATTTTTTTGATCAATTCCACATTTTTTCTACAACACCTTTAATGCATTGTTACAGTTGAACAGAACTGATAAGATCAGGTTACATGCTCTATTGTCTGGTAGCCGAAGTGATCTACTATTAAACTGTTAAAATAAGCTTCATTTTGCACATCTGGTAGTTGAATCTATTGATAATAATGAAGATGCCTAGATCCTACGTGACGAAGCAGTAACTGGTCATTTTGTAGCACCTGAAGTGGTTGTTACAATGTCAGAACTAAAAAAACAAACAATACTGGTTCATATAAAATGGAACATTGTTAAAACAATGAATGTGAATGTTAAAAACCCCCACAAAACCTTACAGTGCCCCTCCGTACATACAGGAAAAGACTGATAAAAGAGTTAGTTCATTTTACAAAAAACCTCATACATTTCATGGAGCACAGACAATATGGTGTGTTTGGAGTTACAGAGGGACGGGACGTCGCACTTTTTCACATCGGGCTCAGAGATTACCACAAGGTCAAGATGGGACTTTCTGCGGGGTGCGAGGAAACACTATGGAGCAAGACGTGCTAATGTTAGCGTACGGAAGTCGGATGCTGGATATCTTTGGGGTCTTTATTTGTCAGTGGATCTGCAGGGCATGCATGGGATCGTGTCTTCAGCACACAGAAAGTGAGCTAAGATTTACTAACTTGTCCTCTAAAGGTGACTCGGAAACACTAGAGTAATTCATTCCTATAGGATGGTGTGCTGGTTCCAACCTTGGGTAAAGACTGACCAGGCATGGGTGAGCAACTCTTGGAGAACCAACCATGCAGGGAATGGGCTTAACTTTATTTAAATAGTCTTTAAAGTGGCAGATTACAACAGCTGGTGTCAGTGCATAAAGGGAACACAAGACTACGATGGACACGGTAAAATGCCTACCAGTCCTCCCACACCTTTAAACATGTAACACCATTAATCCATTAAAATGTAAGACAACGCGCTCAACTCACAATTAGACTTTGAAGGCTGGTTGCTGGATCCTCAATGTAGAGGATAGAAAAGAAAAGACTATGAAAGCCAACAAACTTGACTTTTTAATATTATCACACCAATGTTACTGAAGAATTCATGTGGCAACATTAAAGGTGGGGTAGGTCATTCTGGAGAAACCAGCTCGAGTGCGCTAGAATTTGAAAATACACAGCCGGAACAAATCTGCCACTTCCTTACAGAGCCCCTCCTCCAACACACACGAACGCGCACATGACCAATGAGGGCACGAGATAAGTGTGTGCACAGATGGAAGGCTGACAGGCAGGTAGGCCATCCAGTTATTTTAGCCGGTCCGGCTAAAATGATTGGTCGTGCTTTTTACAGTACTACGGCTTCCACAGATGACATTTCTTATGGATTTTTTGTCAAAGCACTTAATATATTAATTGCTATCGGGATGTTAAGAGCATTCCATGGAATATAACAAAAAGTGTATCTCGAGCCGGTTTCTCAAACTTACCTACCCCACCTTTAACTATGATATTGTAGTGCTGTTTTAGTCTTTCCTCTTCGACACCATTTATGTCCACTTCTTTATATCACTGACAAGTAGAATCTGTCATAATCTTAATAAAATTAACATCTGATTTATTCAGATTTTGTGCAACAATAAAACAGTATCTCTTAACAAAGACTTTGGCAAGGGGAAGGGGGACATTTAGATACAGTTAAAACATGCAGAGCTCTACTTTCTTCGTACAAAACCAGATGTGCTTTTCTAACCCTGTTCTGAATATCTGATTGTGGATTGGTGAGAAAATAATTATCTCCATTTGAGAAGGTTAAAGAATATTTCCTTTCAGTTCTGGCTATGGCTTCTCTTCGGCCCTGACAGTAGGGTATTTAATTGTAGACCTGAAATTCATATACTTATTAAAAGAGCACTATGATTTAACACATTGCCCGCAGTTTTAGCTTTTTTTGTTTCCTCTTATGCACTTTGATGCAACTCATTATTACAAATATTGAGAGTGGAAAATGAGAACACACTGATTGTAGGTCCAGCCCTCATAGACACTGTTAATGTTGTGCTTTTCAAATAATTCCTACTACACGTGATGCCAAATCATAGAGAAGTCTGCTGCTGCTTCATACAATAGCCAAAGACTGGGGCGATTGAAGGAGCGGCTGTTCCAGTGCTGCATTACAGTACAAATGTAAAGCACCAACATGTTTGGCACTGGTTTACCTGTACTCATGCATCATATGAGGTGTGGTGTTAGCCAGTAGTGAGTTCAGACTGTCTGTGTTCAGTCAGGAGGCTGCAGTCATGCTGAAGAGAGGACAGAAAGAGGAGAAAGCACAGCGCTACAGAAGGGGACTGACAAACACTCAGCATGGCGACAGAGCCAAGACCAGCGAAGAAGAAACAGTCGTGATAAAAAAAGATCATTCACTTCAGAGATTTATCACTGAACAGCCTCAATATCAAGTCACTCCAACAGATGTCAACAGCCAGAAATAACTTACTTTCACGGGTGAAAAGGTGGAACCAAAATGTCTGGTTTCTATATTAAAACTTTCAAAATCAAATGGTTCCATAATTGTAAATCGATGTGGCTAATAACACCCTCGAATGCCACTTCACTCTACCCCACCCTTACCCTCTGATCACAATGAACTTTGTGGACCAACATGTAGACAGAAGAATCTTGAAAAGACATGAAATGAACAGGAATGATGAAATCACTGAAATAAGCATAGATCAATGCCAAACCCAATAACCACAACTCCAAATTGTCCCTATGATGCACCAATGATGGCAGAGAAAACAGCAAAATGCCTGCTTCAGATTCACACCAGTTCATATACTTGTACATGTTTGTTATTGCTATAGTCCTCATCAATATCCCAGATACAGTCCAATAAACCATCCTGATATTGTCACTGTGAATTTACTCTCATACAGTTGACTGGTCACCTTTCTGCATGGGCCCCGAGCCCCGGTGGGACCAGTCAACCCAGTACGTTGTCTTTGGTTGTGGGTTGGACTGAGAGGAGTTGAAATTGTCATCTAAATGTGAGTTAATCCAGATCTTTTTTGAAAAGTCATCTTCTCTTCTTATAAATATATGGGGACAAACAAACCCAATAGACGAACTACATAAGCGGGAATAATGAAATCCAACACAGTTAATTTGTTACTGGAAATGTTTTTTTAACTGGTGGCTCAAATCCAGCAGGTATCCTCTGATTGGGTGACAGTGCACTGGAGTTAGTTCAGGTCTGGGGGGCCAGAGATGAGATATGAGAACAGATCCAGGAAGGACTGATGTTGGTTCTGTTGCGTTTGAGTTGTATGTTTGATATTTTTCTGGGCTCTCCCTTCACGTCTCTCCTTCCCTTATGCCCCATTGCTTGTGTGCTGAGTAAAGGATGTGCTCTGTGGTGCTGTAGGGCAACAGTTCATCAGCTGAGGTGGCACTTCTCATTCTGTCCTGTGAAACCAGCCCCCATCAGAGCCCAGAGTGTGACCCGGTCCAACTGTTATGGAGGGGCATAATAAAGAGGTGGTGAGATGGATGGAGGGCAGGATTTAAGGAGGAGGGCGGCTCATGTCCAGTCCGCCGGGCCGGGCTTCTGTAGGGCCTTAGGGATGAGGTCGTTGGTTGTGGAGGGTAGTAGTGAGGGACAGTGGAGAGGCAGTGGGAGAGGGTAAAGGGACTTTTCTGGGCCCTTTAGGAAGGTCTCAGACCAGGGTTCCAGGTTTGGCCTTATCGTGTCCGTACCACTGCACATCTGCCAGCTCCGAGCACAGAGGGCTGCTGGGAAAACAGCTGTCACTAAAAGACCTGCAGAGGAACACACACACCAGCATGAGACTGACCTCGGAGAGCAACTTCTAATTACTATCGTCTACATGGTTTCAAGATTATATCCATTCTTGCAATTGTTTGATAAAAAGTGTTCTCACATACAGCACATGGTTGAGTTTTACTATTAGTAGATCCTGTAAGGGATTAGCCAGTGTCAGACCACAGAGCAGAGCACATGCAGAGATCAGATAGAGATACAGCCAAAGAAGGAGTACATGACATATACCGCCACCGTCAAAGAGCAAGACATGGTGGACATTCCCCATTGTCAGCCCCCCACAGTCGATGATGAAAGTGATGTTGCCTAATACGTTGGGATTTATTAATGGGCAACGTCCTATAGATTAAAGTCTGATTGTGAGTAAATTCGCTACTACTGTTCCTTGCTTCGAGGTTATTTTCTCTCTGTTTTGCTGCTGCTGTGTTTTCTGTAAAGTACACTGTAGGTAGAGACTACAGACAGTACCTCTATGCATCAGAGCTGGGCTGAGGGGGAGACTGACAGACGTCCTCAGTAGGAGAGCTGTCTGCTGTGCCTCTAAACCAGGAGAGAGGACACACACACAAGGAAAGGAGGGTTAGTGCAGACAGAGAGAGACAAGGAAGAAATGACAAATGAGGAAATAAGAGACATTTCCCGTGACGTAAAGAAGACAGGAAAAAAGAGCGAAAAAACAAAGATGCAGTGAGTGAAGTCGAGACCGAAACTGAGTATGAAGAAGGTTTAAAATAGAACCCACAATTCCATACAAATCTTCCTTTAGGATTTGTTCAACAACAGTGTAAAACAATATCAGCTGACAGATAAAACATGGAGTCAAAGCTCGAGAGGATGTTAGAGTGAAGGTTGTATAAAGATGGAGAGAAAGAAGCTGAGCAGCCAAGATGCAGTTTGTCGTGAATTAATGTGAATTCATATTCGGCTTGAAGCATGTTGTCATCCCGGTCAGCTGCTGTATGTGTGTGTGTGTGTGTTAGTCTGTTTGTGTCTTACCCGCTCTGCCAGTTGAGGATGTGCTGTGGGCTACAGGGGGGTGTGGCTGCGTGTTCGCTGGTGGGCGTCATACTCCTCTGGCTGTGAGGGGATGCAGCTATGGGGAAAACAGACAGTTAGTCATGCTAGGTAACACACAAAATGCAGCGTTGTCAGAGAGACACAGCGGACAAACACACATTGACCAGAGACACATATACACAGAGCAAACACACAATATAGAGGCTACAGTGAGGTGATCGGCAAAGGTATTTCAACTTTGCTCCACATGGGGGGAGGGGTTTAAGGGGATGTGGCTCTAGGGTCACTAGGAACGTGTGGGTCAGGGGTCAACTAACACAACTGTCCCATGGGAAAATAGGCCTCGTTGGCGCAGTAGGCAGCGCGTCAGTCTCATAATCTGAAGGTCGTGAGTTCGAGCCTCACACGGGGCATTAACTTTTCATATTTCCATATTTGATCAACAAAGAAGGTGTGTAATTTAAACTCATAAAGCGCTGTTTGGTACAGACTGATCTAATGCTCTTTGGGATGATCCAAACATCCAGATTTCTGCTCACTTGCAGAGCAACCAAGCTACCCATGTAACTTTTACGTAGTACTTATAGAGGCGGACTGTACCAACTGTATTAATGTGAATGTTATGTGACCAAATTACTCAGCAAATGTTCACCGCTCAAAGCTCACAGCTAATCTTACATCATAAACATTGCTGGGGTCTCTTAATCTAATGGTCGTGAGTTTGAGCCTCGCACAGGGCATTCCTTATTCAATCAATTATATAAATATAAAGTTTCTCATTTACATTTCAATAAATTGTAAACTTAATAAAAATACAAAACTATATATATCAAACAGGTTTAGTAAAAAAGGGGAAACACTTGTTATTACTGAAATGACTGAGCTAGGGTTCTGAGTCTCAGTCAATCTGAAAACATGACCCATGGCCCGTCTCATAATCTGAAGGTTTGAGGTTCGAGCCTAGCACAGGGCATTGAGTTTTCACAGCATGAACCTTTTCATTAGAAACTCTTAAAAACAAAATAATTGTTTGTATAAATAACAGGACCAGTGTAAAGCTTTTTACATAAACACATGATACTTTTTACCCAGATCAGACCGGGTTTAATGTGAACAAATAAGAAGACCCACCTGGTGAGCCCTTGGCGAGTGTGCCGACTCGACTCCCCCGACCATGTCCCAGAGTGCCTTGCTGCGACCCTGTCTCGGAGGACGTAGACCCCGAGTGTGAGTGACTCCTGTCCTTCAGGCTCCCCGAGGACCTCTGGTACCAGCCCCGCAGCTCGTCAGACACCGCTACCCTCCCCCCTCCCCCACTGCCCCCACCCTCTCGCCCCAATGACGGTGTCCGTACGATCTGAGAGCGCGACGGCGTGAGTCGGCCGCTCCCCTCGCCTCCCTCCTCTCCCCCCCAGGCCTCTTTGTACAGCCCCCCTGCCGTGTAGGAGCTGGAGGTTTTGAACTGGGCCTTGACGCTGTAGTGGCCTTCCTGGTCGTTCTCCAGGCTGCGCACCACCACCGGGTTGGGGCTGCCCTCCACGTACAGCGGGTACTCCTTGATGCGGTACTGGGAGGAGGGCTGGCTCTGGCTGTGGAGGTAGACTCCGTGGTGTCCCCCTCCTACCCCGCCTCCACCTGAGCCCCCACCAGTGCCGTTCTTAGCTGCCAGGTTGGGCATGGAGCCGGAGTTAGAGGAACCCAGGTGACCTGCCGACCTGGAGGGAAGGACAATCATTCATCAATCTTAGAAAATAACTGTTAAATTATATATATTTAGTACAATAGCCAAATGTTGTGTAAGGAAACCCTTTTAATTGCATCTGCTCCGCCCCTACCTGTGTCTTTGCCTCTGCCTTTGCCTTGCTTTGGAGGGTGAGTCCTCTCCCAGAGTGGAGTAGTTGGGGTTGCTGCCTGGGGGTCCGCCAGAGGGGTAGTAATGCTCCGAGCTGCTTTGGCTGGTGCAGGATGAGCAGTCGTCCAGTGGGTCCGAGCCATTGGAGTTGCGTCCTGGGACCAGGAAGAATTCCGGGCTACCCAGGGTGCCCAGGGTGTGCGGGTGTGCGTCGGGGTCGGGCACCAACAGTTTGCCCTGAGACTCAAGGCTTGAGCTGCGGTTCCTAAAGTGCTGAGCGAGGCTGTGCAGACGGCTGGGACTGATGTCCACTGACCTGAGAGACACAGAATCACACAGCAAGTTACTTACAGGGAATCGGATAGGAAAGATATACAGATTTCATGGAATTACAAATGTTTCAATATATAAATAGATAAAGCCCTGTAACCTCATTCTAGTTGGGGTAGACTTAGACAGGCATTTTTAAAGTTCCACATAATCAATAATAGAGCAATCTAAGTCTTAAATAAACAGTAAAAGGTATAAATGCTGACCTGGTGGAATGTACGTAGTTGGGGTTCCTGGTCCTCAGGTCCGGGGTCGACGGCATGCTGGACTGAGAGTTCCAGAGAGGGAGGTTCCTGATGGGGCTGCTCTGCAGAGAGTTACACCCCCCCGGATCTGCACTGCCAGAGCTGGGGAAACGCCTGTGACTTGGAAAAGAGGCAAAGAAAATAAGCATGATTTGAAACAATGTCATTTAATAAGTAGCTTTTACATAGGCAACATATGCATGCAATGCTCTACATTACGTCAACAAACCCTAGATTTATTCTCAAGCTAGATAAGATAAACTCCCTCCCTACCTTGAATGAGAGGAGCGTTTCTTGATTTTTTCGTATGGCTCATCCAGTGACGATTCACTCCACATCTTGGGTTTGATGGGTGATTTATCATAGTCAGGGCGTGAGTAGTGCAGATGTCGCAGGCCATCCAGGGACTGGGGCGGAGGGGGCCGACTGTGAGAGGGAGGTCGAGGGGGGAGGCCCTTATGAGGCGATGCTACTGGAGAGAAGGTGGGAGTACCTGTGACTTGAGGATCATCTGAAATAGAGTAATCGTTGAATTAGGTTTAAGATTATTATTTCATAAAATCATGTAAACAGAAGCCCAATAATCAGTTATTGTAAGAATCTTGCACAGAAATATGCAGGACAGACTTACCATCATCTAAGACCAGTGCGTCAGACAACGAACTGTCTTCAGAAATGTTGGCCTCTATAGGACAGAGAAAAACACATGAGGTTAAATATTGTACAAATAACCAATCTAAAAGCCTAAAAGCTGCATGTCTACATGTTGTTGTTTTAAAAAAAAAAGCAATTTGTGGCTTTCTATTGCCACTCTGAACAGTAATTGAGGAGAATATAGCTGTGTGTGGTGGCAACTACAGCTCATAGATATCAAATATATGAGAAAACAGCTCATAGATATAAAGAGATGTGATAACAGTTTTGATTTAAGTGAATAGGAGTTTATTGGTACCCTCTATGATTAGCGATGCCCTCAGCGTAGGCTTCTTGCCAGAGCGGACCCGGTGCTCATTGATAGAGTTCTCAATTTCCTGGAGCTTCTTCAGTGCGTTCAGATAAGAAGTCTTCCTCTGTTTCTTCAGCTTCTTGCTGCTCACGTGTGGATCGCTGGCAAGACGCCTGGCTGCCTCTGTAATCTGGGACTGAATGGCAAACTCGCGCTCCAAACGCTCCAGCTCCTCTTCCTGGGAAAAGCAAACACACGAGTGCAAACTCTGAGTGACAAGGGCACAAAGATACTGGATTGGCTCACAGTTTTAGCAACAGAAATCTCTGCACAATCCAAATACAACAAGGCTTAGTTTGCAGACACGTAGTCAGACTCTAACTCTCCCATGCAATGCATTTGGTCAGACACACACACCAAGGCTTGCCAGACCAAACACACTGCGGAAATCATTTATCTGTGCTGCTGCTTCACATTTCTCACCACCGGATATTCCCTATTGAGTCACCCTGTTCCCCAATAATAACACCTCTCCATCAATCCATCCTCTCCTCCTCTATACCTCTCCTGAGATTTGAAAAGCAGAGAGAATGTACCAAGTAAAATAAGCTGTCACACTGCAGACATATTGCATGTTTACCTCACTTAAATATGTGAATCTACTGTACATATATGGTAAGATAAGACAAACCGTCATTGATCCCCATAGGGAAATTCATGTCGTAGTATACTGTTAAATAGCATAGAATAGTAAAAAACTGAGTATACACAAGAAAATAAACTCATATCAATCATGTTTGCAGTCATCTATGAGAACACACATGATTTCACTTGCCTCTAGAGAGACAGAGCGATGATGTATTTATTTGCATCAACATCTCACTAGACTACCTCAGTTCAGAGGAATCCCACTCTCTAACAATCCCTGCACACTCCTACCAGAGTGGCTTCTGTTTCTGTGTGTGAGGGAGTTTAAGGTGTTCAGTGTAAATTAAGAAACATCCTTCTGCTTGCGAGGCAGTTTGGTGATACTGTGTCCCTGGATTATTTTCAAAGCACACAACCTCAGAGAAACACACCCACACACCCATTCAGGCGCTCACACAATCCTACTATCACCACTTCCTGTAGCAAGAATACTGCCAGGCTATTTTTAGAAGTTCTGCTGCTGTGGAAAATCTACCCGTGGCACAAAAAGACAGAGACACAAAGCTGCAGAAAAACTTCTTTCACATGGTTCAAGACGTCTTAGACTGAAGCTTTTCCATGTTCTCTGTTTCCTTTGCTCACATAACAACTGAGGAGGGATGAATTAAGTTTTCATTATGTCAATCATCACAACCATTATGTGAGTATTAATTAAAGTAATTGGTTTTGAATACAGCCCTTGATCAGCACTGTATAACATCAAGAGCTTTTAAAACACCAGCTTTGATGTACAAAGCCCATAATGTTCATAAATAGATAATAATAATAGACTCTTAATTATTAAGCGCTGCATTCAACATTACATTACTGCACCACAGTGCCTTGGACAGGTCCTTGTGGTATTTGGTTTTATTATTAAACACTGTAACCACCAGATGATCTCCTGTTTTTATTTGGCCTTTAGTGGGGAGCGGGGAGATTGCAAATGTGATAAAGTGCTACTGTGGAAAACAGCCTCACCTCTCCCTTCAGAGTAATTTTCTGCTCGTCCAGTTTGAAGGCGGTACCGATCTTCCGTCTCACTGTGGGCGGCTCCTCTCCCGGATCCAGAGGATATTCCTTGGGAAGCTTTCCTGTCAGCTCCTAAAAAAAACGACAGGAGGAAAGGTTAGAAAGGCAAAGTCTAAAATGATTCTGGTTTTCTAAATATTTGCAGAGACTGTTGTTTTTCATACCGCCTCTCTTATGCAGATGTTCTTGAGTTCCTCTAGTCTCTTTTTTAGCGTATCTTCAAGAGCTTCCTGCCTGGCCCTCAGTGCTGCCAGCATGTCTTTCTTAGCTGTCTGGGAGCTGTCTGATTCCTGAGAGCCTGCAGGGCACAGACAACACACAACGTGAGGCGGGAGGCAGGAGCATATGAGTGTGTAGAGTAGTGGGGACTTGTTTTGAGGCAGAGGAAAGGCAGCAAGTATGCGTGCACCTGCTACCCTCGCAGGATGTTTACAGGGAAGTGAGTGGAACGCTTCGATAAGGACACTGAGTGTTAGTTGTGTGTATGTGCGAGTGTGAATCCTTCAAGGAAGGGGCAGTTTAGGACAAAGTCAGTGACGCACAATCTCCAAGGCCCTGAGATGGTGCCACTCTCGTTTGAAAATAAATAAATACATACAACCCCCCCCCCACACACACACACACACACACACACAGAAAAACACATTGTTTCTCTCAGTTGGTCTGTGCGTGACGTATGCAGTTTGACATAGTAACAATACTAAACTAAACACAGCTGAAAGTTTGACCAGAAATAAATGGCAGGGGTGGGGGGGTGTTTATGGCACCACAGTTCCTATGACATGTTTATGTTGCTGGGCAGAGATGGCCTCTAGTTAGCAGTGGATCATGAAATCAACACACTGACACAACACCAAGGAGACAAGTGACAAGACAAAGACACCCTGTATGATACAGGGAGGGGGTGAAACTAGAGAGGGACAAAGATAAGCAAAAAGGGAGATTAGGAGACTAGGAATGGATGGTTGAAGAGATAAAGAGATTAGGCAGGGATACAGGTATCTATACTTAGAAAATGAAGAAAAGGCAAACAACTGATCCGATAGGACAGGACAGCATGCAGGACATTTTTACTGAAAGAGAATAGTGTTCTTTTGAGTGGTAATTGATTCAGTGAGGTGTGCTGTAATCTAAATAGCAGACACCAAAGCCATGTATAGACACCCTCTTCAACCTTAAATGATGCTGCTTTGGTCTAGTGAATGTCATTTTGAATGAATAATGTAGCAGAAACTAATCAAATTTCACTAGAGCCTATTCAGACTAATTACTGAACTGACTCTCCTAGCATGCAACACTTGACATGTCTGTCTGGGTTAAAAAGGGCACTTTCCTCCTCACTGTAAAAGTAGTTCATGTACATTCCTCTCTTGCTGTCACATTCATACTTGTTCAACACGGACAAACATTGTTCTAAAGGCCATGGTACATTTGTATATTGACCTGCTGACCTTTTCATTCCCTCACCCACTAAATTTAGAGGGGCCTCTGGAGGATGAGAGTGTGACACAGAGGGTGGGTTCCATACATACAGAAAGACACAGGGCGGGGTGTGTATACAGTATGTGTGGGAGAACAGTCAGCACAGAATGAATGGCCTGTTTCCGGAAGCAGCTGTTTCTGTCTCTCCAGTTGTCGATGAGACTCCCCCTCACCAGCACACATGCAAACACAAAGACTAATACGCACACAAATCAAATCTTCTCTCCCTGTTTGTCTTTCTCTCCTTCTCTCAGCACAGTCACACACATTGAACACATACTGACCTGACGAGAGCAGACTGCCGCTGCTGCCACTTATAATTTTGCCCTTGCTTCCCATGTTGGCTAGTTTGGAGGTCTTTAGAGTTCCTGTTTCCGTGAGGTCTATAGCAATCTCATTCAGACTCCGCGCTGCATGGATTTTGGACTGGAGAAACGAGAATGGAAAGGGTTTGTCAGAACACATCATTAATTGCAACAAACTTACAGACCATGCTTGAAGACTTCACTGTATCTCTTGTTTATCTGTATTCATGTGTATGGTCTGTGGTGGGTCTGACTCACTGACCTTGCTCTGCTTTCGGTCCAGGTAGAACTGGTGTTGGCTGATGGCCATGGCCCAGATGGACTTGATGAGGGCAGGACAGGCGTACCACGTGTGCACAGCGATGCCGCTGTGACCAAACGTCCTTCTCGTCACCGAGGCCCGACTGTAAGAGCAGACACAAAGCCTCCTTATATACACTGAATACAGATGGTCAGTCAAAACACTCCCACCAGACAACTTCCTCATCATCACCGTTACCTATACTACAAATACTAATGAAGTTTGTCATGGCTGTTAAAGATAAGATAGTGAATCATTTCACATTTTTGTTATACCCCAAGTTGATGCATACATGTTAGGGATGTTAAGATTCACCGATTCGCATTGGTGCACCGGCATATACGTTCAAAATGCGAGTGCACCGGTTGAAAGAGTGCACATCGGCTACAGTTTGGGTTGAACTCGCGATGCATCGATTGTAGCGTCTTTGAATCGGTAAAAAACCGATTCATTCATATAATATCCCCTCATCCTGTCAGCACTCAGCAGAGACGATCTTTGATCTTTGCTTCGCACTACGGAGACCGCGAGTCTCAGTTATCAACACACATGGAAGTCGAGGAGAAAGAGAAACACCTCGTACCGAAAAATACCTACAAATCAAACGTTTGGCAACACTTCGGATTTTTCAAGAAAGACGGTCAACTTGAAAAATCGCTCGCAAATTGTAAACGATGCCGTGCCGCTTTAAAGTACACAAGTAGTACGAGGAACTTAGCGACGCACATAAAGAGGCGACATGGGGTCTGCGGCTGAAAAGAAAAACCTCAAAGTAAGACATATGAGTTAAATCACTGAGAGTGGTGTTTAGTTTACAACAGCCTGTGACTGCCAATAATAGTTTAAATGTATTCCTTACAATTGTAAGCAGTTATGAAATACCTGTGTGTGAAAGGTTATTTGTATTTTTTATTGTTCATATAGAAACCACTGCTTTCTGCTCACTGGTGAGTTAGCCTATGAATGAGTGTTAAGCACATCAGGCTGGCAGTTGTATGGGCATTGCACTATGGTAGTTGTTATTTGCACATTGTTAATCATAGGCAATGCATGCTTAAATTGTTTAACTGTGAGGTGTTATACAATTGTACTTTTTTAAGGTAAAAAAGAAACAGCATAATGGGATGTGCAGCAGAGGCGGATTTAGGATTGTAGGAGATCCGGGGCTTAGCCCAGGAGTCGTTGGGTTGGGGGGGGTGCAGGGGTATAGTGTTATTTTTTATAAGTGGGGGGTGGACCGAACATCCTTTAGGGGGGTCGTCGCCTCCTCTCGGGGGGTCCGGGGGCATGCTCTCCCGGGAAGATTTTTTTTAAAATATTGAAGTTGAAAGCATCAATCTGGTGTACTTTGAGAGCAACATTAACCCTACCTTAATAACACCTTAAAGCGGACAAAAGGCACTGGAGAACACTCATTAACACCCTTTAATGAAGCAAACTAATGCCTTAACTCACTCAAATAGTCGTTTACTTATTAAGGTGAAACGAATGTGCGTATAGAGTTTTAAAGGATGCGGATAGTCTCACCTTGATTCTGGCGCATTGCTTATCGTTTTATAGATCTATTCTCATCCACCATCTTTGTTTGTGACGTAAAGAGTGTAAGAGTCACGTTTCTGAATCGGACACTGAGTGGATGCAGTCACAGCCAATCGGATTCAGAGGGTTGCCTGTCAGTTCTGTTGTTATGTACTGAAACGAGAGCCGGTATAATTCCACGCGTGAAAACAAAATAAAAATACGTTATTTTAGTGTCTTAAAAGTAGACTGAGTTATGAAGGGTTAACGTTACATCTTAGGATAATTGTTAGTCATGTTCTGTATACATACTAACATATAAGGGTATACTTAGTGTGGTAACTCCATGTTTACTAGCTATAACATTAACGTTACATCACTCTTTTTCACTTCTTACTCAGTCAGCCAGAGTGCAGATATCACCATTAGATTAACAAACCTGAAACATCATCCATTTCTTCACTGCTGGTGATGACATTGTTGTCAGCTGCTGATACTGCTGCTGCTGCAGCTTGTGGCGCCGGCTGCTTCAATGACAATAACTTTCTAATATCCATAACTGTATAGGCTATTAGCTTAAAACTCGTCAGGCACTAGGAAGGATCACTTCTTCTTCAGGGCAGGCTACGCAGTACGCAGGCTAATGTCCCACAGTGGCTGCCTCTCTGGTGGACTCCGGTACTGCACATTACTCCTGAGACGTTTTTTTTTTTTAAAGTGAAACATCCGGGGCTTTTCAGAAAACATCCGGGGCTTGAGCCCAAGTAGCCACCCCCTAGCACCGCCACTGATGTGCAGTACTAGTAGAGATAACCACATATGTACAGTAAAGCATTTTTTGTTAATGTATGATTTGCTTAATATAAGGAATAAAACAAAAATCCTCTGTCGTACCATATTGAAGTATTATTATTTTGCATTGTGTTGAATCGTATTGCCCCGTATCGCATAATGTTGAATCAAATCGTATCGAACTGTATCGCAACAGGGGTGAATCGTATCGTATCCATCGCCTGGTGTCTCAAATGTATCGTTAATGTATCGTATCGTGGCAACGTATCGAGATGCGCATCCATCGGCCTCAGTGATGGAGATGCACATCCCTAATACATGTGGGTAAGAAAGGCTAAGATGTTTGGACGGATGGATGATTTCCAATAGCTAAGTCCTTACCAATATAATACCTAAATAGCAGTTCCTCTTTCACAAAGTCCACTCATTAACAGAAAAGCTAAGCTCCGCCTCTAGATAGGGCCTTTCACTTTTTTTATATTACCTGAAAGAAACCACATTTCTCTGACACTTGTAAAAATGCAGTAAAACGAGCCACCGCCTAATTGACATTGCTTCTAAAGAAGTAATGATGGCCTCTGAGCAAGTAAATACCATGACATATAACCACTGTGTTATGTATTCTATCATTCAGCACTTATATATACTGTGCATCCCTATAAAGAATATTAGAGGTTTAATATGGCAAACCAACCACACAAGATGTTCCTCATTGTTTACTCATCCTTATTTAAACACACATCTGTAGCTGAGCAACAGGCCCGCTCACCCTAATGACAGCTTCCTGTAAAGAAAACACCACTGCTCTCTGTTTCACCCTGTCCATCTCTTTTTCTCGCATTCTCCCTCCCTCTGTCTGTAGAATAACACTCCACATATATATAGCTGTGTTAAATAAACACAAGAGAGTTCACTTCCTCCGCAAAACAGCTATATCGCACAGCCATCTCTCCTTCTGTGGTCAACCATCAAGGCTTTACACTGTATGTGTGTGTGAAAGAGAACTTGTGTTTGTGCATGCATGTGGCTGCACAAGTGTGTTAATATCAGACTATCAATCTGTGTCAGGTTCCACCGAGACCTCCCCAATATCCCGCTCTATTGCCAAGACAAATGCTGCAATTATTACTGAATTAGATTCCAATCTCTCTTTTCATGCTTGGATCTCAACACATTCACATTAAACACAGGGGTAATTTACAGTCAGTGCTACTGGAAGGTGTCCATAACTGAAGTAAAATTATACCACTTCCAAAGATGAACTACACAACAATTCAATAGTATCAACATTTAATAACTAAAGTATAATTGGTATCATGCAATTCAACACTCAGTTAATTACATTGATATTAATTTACCTCCTGGGGTCATGAACTTCCACAGAAAACTTCTTCTCTCTGAAGTAGAGGTTCTCCAACTGGCGCCATTGGAACACCTGAGGTTTAGGAGAAACAGTCTTCAGGGCAGCTCACACAGAAACATGCTTCACATTAAATCCACACAGCCTTCAGCCAAATCCTCTTTTCTCTTCTGTGTACGTTCCAATTTGTTTTGAGTGAAAAGGCAATGTATACGGAGGAAGAAAAGAAAAAAAACTCAGAAAGGACTCTGACGAAGAGGAGGAGTTAGAAACAGGGGAGGTGGGGGCAGAGAAGAGGACCTCTGATCAAATCCAGACCGGGCGGTCTTGTCCACAGCAGATCCTTCGCTGGATGACCTCACTCTGGAGAAAGACAGTGTGAGAGGGAGGAGGCCTTCTTTCCTCTGCTCTGATTTTTCTCTTTCCGTCCCCTTTATGAACCATCCGGTCCTCTTTAAATGGAGCCAAAGCCAGCTGGGCGAGAAAGTTTCCCCCAAGACGTACTCCACAACATGTGTGTATCTTAAATCCTCCCAGACGCAGGGGAACAGAACGTTATGAGTCAGTGGGTGTTCACCATCTGTAGGCATGTGCCTGTGTGTGTGTGTGTTGGTGGAGAGAAAGTGTGTAAAGTTAAGTTTCCTCCTCTCCTGTAGCTTTTCTAGGAGGGAGGGGACGTTAATGCCTCCCCTTCTCCTGACCCCTCCTTCCTCCCTCAGGGACTGTGCTTCCTGCTTTGGGCTCTGTGGTTGGGAGGTGTGTGTGTGTGTGAGTGTGTATGTGTGTAGAGGGTCAGGGGAGGAGTGATGAAGGGGGGAAGAATCTTTCTGTGGCCCAAGCAATTGAAGTGCCCGCTTGCTCTGTTTAGTCAGTGTGTACACGCACAGACACACATTCACAAAGTCTGTTTCTCGTTATAGAAGAGTAGAGTGCGGGCAATTTCAGAACTCCTGCATCTATCAGCTGGCGCTGACCTGCTAACACACACATGTTGAGCTGTGGTGTACACTGAATGAATATCAGTAAAGAAAGTCAAACTAAGGACTGAGAAACAGGGAAAAAGAAACAATGTGGACGACCCAACTTTGACAGGATGAGGGAGGAAAAGAGGAGAAAGGGAGCTAGGGGAGGAACAGGTCACGGCCCAGGAATTTTAACAGCCTGTGAAAACAATGGTCAGAGGGATGAGAAGGAGGAAAAGGGAGGAAGGGGGAGAAATATGATTAAACAACAAAGTCTGATGTATATTTGTATGTACTGCGTGTGTATGTGTGTGCACAAGCATGAAGAAAGAAAGAAAGAAATCGGCACCCTTATCGCAACTGTCGCTGTACCGTGCATTTTCAATGGAGTGTGAAGTGCTAATGTAGCATGGTGCTAAATATAGCGGGCAGGGTAGATAGTGGGTGGGTGAGTGTGTTGGATACATATAGCTGTGGAGATAAAATAGCTGTTTTTAACTGTGTTAAGGCACGAGACCACTAAAGCAGTTCTCTTCATCAGCACGATAGAGCTGCTGAAATTATTTTAAGTAAACTTTGATGTGTCAGGGTAAGTAGAACATGTGTATCTGTATTCACATGATCTACAAGGAGGTGCAATAAAGTTACCCTCAAGTTTAAAATTAGACATTTTTGCTGTGATTCTAGGCTGTTTAAGACAGTGCCCCAGATACATGAGCCTTTGCAGTCTTCATGGCAGACATTTAATAGCGCGAATGTCTGGAAAAAACATCAAAAACCTGCTGACAGATTATTTGTAAGAAACTCAGTCAAAGCCATTGGGTGCTTCTGTTATTTGGGCGAGTCACTATAAATCGTTTCCCTCTGACCGTCAAACGCTCGCACAAAATGGCAAAAACACGCAGACACAAACACAAGCAGAGGAAGTGACTGGTCATTATTCAGCAAACAACCGCTCATGTGCAAAGACCCACGTCTTTCTTATAATACTGTCTGTGCACCCCAGCACACATCCATTACAGATGAAAAGGTTTGATCTGATAGTGTAAATGCCTTTCTTCGGTGTAGTGGACTCCCCGGGGGTTTCAAGAAGAATAGAAGGCTTAAATAGCATATGAATATTATTCTTTTTCAAGAACTGGACCTGAGGCTCTCTATTGTTTCACCCATGGGTGGGGCTCTGGTGCCCACCACTATATCCACTAGTTGTCATGGGGATGTCGATAAACTCAGGAGTGACTTCCTGTTGTTTGCGTTTTGGTTGTGTTGTTTTGGAGGTATGACATTTATGGAATAAAACTAATCAGAACAGGCTGCATGAGTCTAATTATTTGATTGCTCTAAATGAAACACAGACAGAAGTTGACTAAAAGCAGTGTGTACTTCTAATACACTACAGAAAAACATCAATATGCAGTGAAATGCATGTGAGATCACATTAAGTTTAATGTGCTGTTTAATTCAACCTCGCTGCAGCTTCTTCACAGTATTGACAGAAGATTTCCTGTTTAAGCCTGTCAGTCAGCTAGGTAGTCAGTCCAAACCCAGACCCTATAATCTCTGTCTAAATGAGTCAGAACACACCAACGAGGCAATCGTGTGGTTCGGCTGTAAACCCTGCCTGTGTGTACTTTATGTTATCTAAATGTGGCCTGCGGTAAGGAGAGGGGGAAAAATATGTTAACATCCCCAAATAAACGTGAAGGCTGCGGTGAATGGTCTGCATTTAAAACAACAGGGATCTCCCCTCATAAAAAGACAAACTAATTAAACACAACTGCCTCCAGTACACACACACCTATTCTACATCACAAGTTGGAGTCCCTTAGGCGCTTATTAATGAATAAAGAAAGTTGATGTTAAAAAGATTAACCTCTCTTCCTGTGACAAAAGACAGTTATTAGCCCATAATGTGTTATAATTAGTGTTCTGCCTCCTCCTGACTGAGTCACAGTACTGAGGACCTGAGTCATTGGTTACTGGTACTCGACCGGCTGATTGACTAATCACCAAATCAACTGCTCTTCCTCTGGTTTGATGAAATATCGGTGACTCTCATTACTACCATAACAAAGGGAAAGCTCCCAGTGACCTCTCAGTGTCTCTTCCTTAAAACACGGAATCACTCTGTAAAAGGAGCACCACCAACCCTCTTTGTCTGCCTTATTAGTGAAAACAAACCTTACTGTGTTCATTGGAATTTAGTCAGTCTTGTGATGTTGCATTAACAAGACATGCAGTCCACAAATCTCTTTTGGGTCAAGCTCCTTAGAATACAATCCCACTTGTGCGGTGGGGAGGCCGAACCTTACTTTCTCTGCTTTTAAATGTGTGTGTGCTTGTGTGTGTGTGTGTGTGTGTGTGTGTGTGTGAGAGAGAGAGTGAGAGTGAGAGTGAGAGTGAGAGTGAGAGAGAGAGAGAAGGAGATAGAAAGAAGGACAGAGGGTAAACAGTGAGGAGATCAGTACCAAAGCTTAACGGACCAATGACTCACACTGAGTGTTGCTATGGCAGCTGAATGCTTGATAAGTCTTGTGTGGGAATGCTATTAACTCTTTCTTCCCTCCATGTCGCTCTAAGATAGCAGAAATCCCTCTCATTCTTCTTCGCCTCACCTCTGAGAAAGCTATCACTTGCCATTTTTGCCATTTCAACAAATATGTATATACTTTGTATAATATTAAACCAGTTTGTGACCTTTTCACAAGTTTCCCAGCATGTTTTGTGTGAGTTTGAAGTGAGAAGATGAGGATCCATCAACAGGGTTATTTAACACCTCAGCAGCCACCATATATTGGGTACTTAATGAGGTAATGAGGAAAGACTGGTGTTCGGTGGTGAGACAGTCATTTACACTGGAATGCACCATAATGTTAGTGGCAAACAGGAAATCTGTGGCAGACAGGAAGTATTCATCAGGATGGTGAGTTCAGAGTTCACTTCAATTCCTGTGTGTGGATGTGTGCATTCATTAGTGTGTGTTTGTGTGCGTTTATGAGCTACAGAGTACCAGTCTATGTGTGTGTTGGAGTGTGTTGGTGGTCGGTCAGTCAGTATTCTAGGATGCTGTTAACCCCTTTAACACCCTATAAGACCAGGCTGAATGCCACAGATCAAGGCCCTGCAGACGGCTGGAGGTCAGAGGTGAGGTAAGAAAGGCTTTCACAGGCGGACCACTGGTTGCATCCACTGGGAGGAGGGTCCCATTCAGGGGAATAAAAGCAGGACAGGATGCAAAACATTCCGGGACTGAATGTCTCCAGACAGTAGTATTTGTTCAGCATTGTTAGTACTCTTCCCAAACACAATATCCTGACTCACTGAATGGAAGAAACAGACCAGCGGTGGCCATGAAAACATTTCCTTCTAGAGTAACACGTTAACTACTCACTCCTAATTAAAAACGACAGTAAAGAAGTAGGTGCCAAAACTGGAAATATATCTTGGAAGTTATTATACAGACACAGAATAATTCTGCTTAATCACAACCTTTTGCAATTTTGGAAAATATACAAATACATTTTTTAAAGATCATTGTTTGTGGTGCAGAGAGATCAGAGGGAGCGTCATCTCACCTTCCTGGGTTTGATTTTGTCCTGGTGGTCATACTGAAAGATGCCTTTATAGCTCAGACCCAACCACCATGGGATCCCCTGCTTGTCCTAAAACACAAAACACCAAAAAACGTTATGAAAGGTTGTGCAAGTTTATGTGATTGATGGAGAGAGAGAAAGGGACTGAAAAAGAGAGATGGATAAAGAAAGACAGAGTACAAATAGCTTTAATCTCAATCATAACACCTTATCTCAAACTCCCAGAAGGAAGAAAAATGTGTGTGGCATGTGTGTGTAAAAAAAGGAAAAGAAAAGTAGTAAAACGGTACCTTTACACCGTAGTAATGTACTCCATATGTGGGCAGAGACTCTACAATGCTCATATAACTGTGAGGAGCAGAAATACAGACACGTCAGGGTTACAGAGAACACAGACTTCTATAAGGTGAACAAACATAACCAGAGACATATTCAAATACTTACTTAACAATAGCTTGCCCTCTGGACTGCCCACTGATCTTTTTGTAATGCTCCACAACCCTGTCTTCACTGTAGGACAGTTAATAAATAGAAGAAGGAATCAGGTTGGGACAAGGAGGACCAGTGCAATGTTGTGATGGTTTTCTCTGTAAATGACTAGTCTCTCACCAGTAGGCCAGAGACGGGTGATCCTTCAGGGCCTGGGTGGGCAGAGCAGGCAGCTTTTTCAGGTCAGACTTGGTTGCTTCAATACTGTGATGGAGAAACCACAAGACATGATCAACACTACTTCTGCAAGAACAATCATTCTCTGCTGTAGGTATTTAGCTCAACAACTAAATGCAAAACTGAATATTTCCCAGAACTGTCTTAAAAATAACATTGGAAAATTGGTGCTGAAGGAACTAAGTTTAGTCAAGAGAGAGGCATGAATGCCATTGGCCTAAATGCTCTCTATTTTAGAGAGTTTGTAGGACAATTCTCTATTTTAGAGAGCCTTTTTCTAAGAACAGCTGCACGGACACCGACAGTTTGAACTGAGAGAAAAGAGGGACAGAATGTTGATGTCATGATAGTTTCACTACAAGGTTATTGTATTTGGGGTAAGGTATTACCCCAAAACAGAATCATTTTTATCAGTAAGAGTAATCTAAAATGTTGTTAATTCTTCACTTTGTGCCTTGGACAATAGATAACCTTTAGACGGAGTACATGAGACAGGGACCCAGGCAGAGAGACTTGGCTTTAGATTCAGTTTTCAGACCTTCAGTGGCAGGAGGTCTTAATACCCCGCTCTAATCCCCCAGCCTCCCTCCAGCCGCCGCCCAGGCCTCAGAGGAGTGGGGGAAGCCCTGGGAACATGACAACCTATGAGCTAACGCCCTGGAAGAGATCCCATCCACCCTGCCCTTCTGTTCCTAATGTGTGAACACAGCTGTGTGTCTGGATTGGATGATAACCATTTCAGTAACTACTCAATAGGTATACGTGGTGGTGTACAACACGTTGGCATTGTACTCAATAAAAGGGCAGGAAAGGGCTCCATTTGAACAAATACATTGTGTGCTCTGTGCCATTGTGACATGTTCATCTTCACAAGTCACTCAAATCAATAATTATTTAACATATTAATTGTCTATAAATAGTTTATAATTAATACTGAAATGTAACTTTCCATCGCTTGCCGCAAGATCTAAGTAATGTAAGAGATGTAAGAATAGGTGTTTTGAAGAGTAGCAGCAGTGACTGATGTAGTGAAACCTAATATGGAGGAGGGGTACAGTGTATGGAGTCTATAATGCTTTTAGAGAAGGGAGGTATGTGTGCGTGGGAGGAAGACGTTAAAGGAAAGGGGGAGAAGGGGGAAAGGAATGTCTCCAGAGTGTGTCACATTCCAGCCCTCTGCAGGATATCGTGTTTATTTACTCCTTTCACAAGCGGAAATGAGGTCAGAGGGGATGCTGTTATCTGTGCTACAACAAAGGGATGAGGGGATGAGGGATGACATACATTTAGGCTAACATCATACAGATGTGTAGAGCCACATGTGGAGAGTAGCTGAAATGAAACATTACTTGACTGGGAAGTTAATCTTGAGTTTAATTCATTTGAGTTTAAATATTTATTCAGAATATTTTGGTAAAATATATTTTGGTATAAGAAATAATTGTATGCAGTAATGTTGAGTCTTAAATTGGAGGAATGTCAATAGCTTTTGTCTTTCCTTACACACATGTTGACACACAAATCAGAACTGAGTGGCAGCACAGGCTGAAGAGAGTGAATCAAAGTGGAACAAGGGTAGCAGGAAAGAAGCAGGGAGGGGTGCAAACCCAGCTCAGAAACAAAGAGACAGTGATGCAACTCAATGCTCAGGGGAGCTGAGGAGCAGACAGACGACTGATATCACTTCCATTGTCCCTCTGTCTGAGCCTCTCGCTTCTGAATAAACATGTATAAACCCTACCACCCTATCACTGGGGATGAAAATTGAGACGGAATATGTGGTATAAACATTTGAAGCTCCTAGCTACAACTTTCACTTACATTACAAATGATTACAAGTTACTCATGTGCTTACCTTGTGAAATCACCTTTAGCCTCCTGTGGAACAGAAAGGGAAATAAAAAAGTAGTGAGAGGAGAAAGGATTTACATATATGGATATGTGAGCACCAAGCAGTGACCATAAAATCTGTGTTTATGTTCGGTGTGCATTGGTGAATTTGCAGCCAGGTCTGCTCTGCTCAGAGAGAAATATTAAACCTCCATCTGGAGTGAAGCCTCTGAAGGCCTACAGAGCTGATATCTGATACTGTGCATCTGCACCTGCAACAAGGACACACACACACACACACACACACACACACACACACACACACACACACACACACACACACACACACACACACACACACACACACACACACACACACACACACAGACACACACACACACACACACACACAGCCAAGTCTATGTGTAACATGACCTTGCAGCATCATAGTTAATGGACTGACCTACTCAGAGAAAGGGATAGGAGAGAGTATGGGGTGGCGTTGAGAAGAGTTTGTGAAGTAAAAGAGTTCCTCTGCTGCTCTGTGTTATATTAGCACCGACTGACGGCACTGAATATTTAGCCGGTAGCCAAGATTTGTTCTACCAACTAAGGCAGTTGAGGTTTTTAGGTTTTAAAATCTCCAAGCATCATGGCAGTTTACTGACAGATTGATTACTGCATTAAATCATTTAGGTTTAATCATCGTCAATTATGACTGCAATAGAAAATGTGAATTCAATCATGGTCAATTAGGATCAAAGGCTGGTGGAGACATTTTGGAAGAACATTTCAAAACTGTTTCAATGCAGAGCAAAAGCCCCTGGAACAACCAGTGCATTTGGCTGCATGAGCTAAAAACATATATCCAAACACAGATCCACACAAAAAACAAGCTTTATCTTACTTGTAGAATAAAGGCAGCCAATTCGAAGACAACATCACTGTCCACTTCAATAAGTTCCTGCAAGAAAAAGAGAGAAGGAAATTATTGTATTACTTTTACTGACTTAACATGTTGGGAGCAAAAGTGGTCGTGCCTCTAATCATCCTCCATTTATCCAAGAAGGGTTGCTTGTAACTTTCATTGCCCTTCCACTACCCCTCCAGTTTTCCACTCTCCCTTCTCTAATTTCATGACCTCTTCATGCGGATGGAGCTCAGAGATTAGAGGCAAATAGAGGGGGTTTGGGGATTGAGGGTAGGCATGGATGCTCTGGTTACTGATTATTCATTACATTTTCCATAGGTGTTCTTTCAAATGTAATATTGTTTTTTAATGACATGTGGATATGGGAAAAGGTAGACTTCATGACAATCAAATATCTTTCTTGGTGTTTGGAATCACAGACCATTGGCATGTTCATATACATTGAATGCTAGGTCTGCTTTGAGGGGGAGAAGGGTATTCAGCAGTGAGTAGTGGGTCAAGTATGCCTGGAATGCTCCCTTTACAATCGACCTCTTAATTTGTTGGGAGATCAGACAGCCAGGATGAACAAACCCACCCTGGGTGTACCACCCACGTGGCAACAAACCGTCATTGAGTATGTGTTATCGTACTGTATGTGTTCCCACAGCACAGCAGGTTTCTCACAACTTATACAAATGCTGAAGCAGAACATATCCCGAGATAGAGTTTCTTAACAACCCTGTACATGAACAAATAATTCTTAAAATACGGCATTATATTTATTTTATTTTCTTGCTCTCTTGCATTGAAAGAGATCATTGTATTTTAGCTGAAGTTGTTATCAAGTTGTTATACATGAGCATAGCGGGATCAGATATCTTCTTGAAGTAGCTAAAGACGTGACTGAACCAGAAACCTTCTGTTTGTGGGTCAGTCTATCCCCGAATACTCAGTTACATAATCACTACCATTCAAGAGGATTGCGCACTTTTGCATCCACTTAACCTGCACAAATAAGACAGAAAGAAACCATATCATTCTCAAAGCCCCCACAAAGGGGGAAGTGCATCCCTATCTGTGCAGCCAAATAGAGTTGAAGTGCTCCTGTGCTATTTGCACATATTTAAATTAGGTCATGTGCCTACATCTGCTGCAAACCGTACACAGAAGCACAACTTTCCAAGTGTGTTTGAGCAATATCTATTGCTAATCAATCTTGAGATGGGGCAGATAGCGGCTGCAAGTGATGGACGATTCTTGATGCTATCAGTGGCCGCAATACATTGATTGTGTATTCCCCCTGAGTGTCTTCCTCATCACAACTGCAGTAAGACTGATGCTGTGCACATAGAAATAAACTAGACAACCCAAACCTCCTATGTAAACTTAGGTTTGTTTACTATTTGACACTATTAGCTATGTGAGGTTTGTATACCACTTTTATACAACAAATTGCGTATGACACACTAGTCTGAACATTAATTCAACAAAAATATGCATTAAATGGCTTTGCATTTATTGTTGGAATTTCCATCACTGTCAGCACTGAAAATAATGGGTCTAATGATATTATCAGAGTTTTCTACAGAGCTTTGTTTGGGTTGTTTTTGCCCCATTTATTTTTTCAAGAGCACATACGCCCTCTTCTGGACAGGCAAAATAACTGCTGAACACTGGTGTCACTGAATCTACAGTACATTGTTGTCTTTTTGCAGGGGAGGAAGTAGATAGAATATGATAGGGGAAAGCGAACCAGTTAACTGCACTAGAGAAAAAGAAAAACATAGAAATTGCCTTCTTTTAGAGGAATGCTTTAAGTGAGTCACCAAATGTTCAAAATATATATTTGCATTTCTATTAGGGGAGCTTATGTAGTGTTTATTTTAACAGCCGAAATAAATGTGCTTCAACATTGACAGATGGCAGAAAATGTGTCAAATGATGCGCTCGTTGCTGGAATGTGGAGCAGCACATATAATGATAGGCAACAGCTGATGCAAATGTTTCACATTTTCTGCTTCACCAAATCCCAAGCTGGCCTCTTCAGTTAGAACCAAAAATTGGCCAATGAAGTGGCATGCTTCAAATCGTATAAAGTCCATTACTCCACATTATTTTTAACTTCAAGTATACCTACTGAAAACCCCCACCTCTTTTTTTTAGCAAGTCCAGAAGAAAACTCACCATCTTTATTTGTAAAGCATTTTAGGATAAATACATCCCAGTCAACAGTATTATGGATAATGCATTATGGCAACATATTATTGAGTTTACCTTGTAGATGATGGACTTGGCATTAAGAAAAAACAGCTCAATAGTAGCATTATCCTTCAGGTAGGATATGCTCTCTATGTAGAACCTGAAAACATAGAGGGATACATTTTATTAGATTTGCAAATCATAGGTTTTCCTTCAGTTCTACAAAGACAATCAGTAAAGTGTATAGTCCTTTTGACCCAGAAACAAAAATAACAAACACAATATATTAAAGGTTATATTAAAGTTTGAGAAACCGGCTCGAGATACACTTTTTGTTATATTCCATGGAATGCTCTTAACATCCCGATAGCAATGAACATCTTAAGTGCTTTGACAACAAATACATAAAAAAACATCATCTCTGGAAGCCGTGGCGCTGTAAAAAGCACGACCAATCATTTTAGCCGGCCCGGCTAAAATAACTGGATGGCCTACCTGCCTGTCAGCTTTCCATCTGTGCACAAACTTATCTCGTGCCCTCATTGGTCATGTGCACGTTTGTGTGTGTTGGAAGAGGGGCTCTGTAAGGAAGTGGCAGATTTTCAAATTCTAGCGCACTCAAGCTGGTTTCTCCAAAATGACACCCCACCTTTAAGGTATAGTCATGACTGAGACAGATGTATGCAACGACCAGAGGGACCAGAAGAGGGCCCACCATACCAAAGACTGACCCTCTACACCTCTTAAACAGATCCCCTCTCTCACCAGGTGTATTGGCAACAACCATTATTAGTTTGTTAGTGTGAGCACATTCCTCAATCTGAATGCACACACACACACACACACACGCACACGCACACACACACATACACACACACACACACACACACACACACACACAATGTGATGATGATGCACTTCACACATTGGCCACTTCTCTGCATCATCAGCAGTGTGTAGTGATTCCACATGCAAATACACTACAGACACACACACAGATATACACACACACAAACACACATACACCAACAGACACACATAAACACGCACTGGAGAGAAGCACAGTAAACCACTTCTAGCAGCGTGATGAGGAGGGAGTTAATGCCGTCTAAATTTAGCTCATGAATGCATGCAGAGCCAGAGGGGAGCAATGATGGAACGCTAGGAAGCTACTGATTGTTAGCTGTTCTTTGATGGAAGCTAACATCTTAAACATCTTCAGTGTATGACTTGATGTATCCCAAATGTGTGTATAATGTGGCCTAAGCACATGTTCCTATGAAAACACGTGAGTGTATGTGTCGATTTGTGTGTGTATGAGTGTAAAGGTATTGAGTCAGAGGGATTGTAGGAGGATCAATATTGGAGGGTTTAAATCGCGTTACCCATTGAGCTGCAGGAGAAAATGAGAGGAGCCATGTCAATATTCAGTGGGAACATTTAATTAAAGCCACGGTGTTGATGAGTTATACACACACTGCCAGCACAGCAGCAAGCATGCAAAAAGGCTCCCACTGAATCAGCTGGAGGTGGGCTGCTGCCTAGCATTTATGGGAACACACGCATTGCACAGATACCACATAAGCATGCAAATAGATGTTGTGCATGCACCTGGCAGTGACACACCTGCACCCAGAGACAACCTTTCCTTGTGCTAATGAAAACAATATGCTCACATTGATAATGGATTCAGGCATGACATTTGGGCGAACGGTTGCTCCATTATAGTCCTGAGTCTGCCTATGCATGTGTATGTGTTTTTCAGGGCTGTGTGTGTGTGTGTGTGTGTGTGTGGGGGGGGGAGGGGGTGTAGTTATTGTGACATTTGGAAAGATTGAGGTGAGAGATTGGACTAAACGGCGAGAATAAAAAGGGGGATGCAGCCTCAAAATGGTGTCAAAGTTCACAATGTCACAGCATCACCACCACAACATCCCTAAACACCTAGTCTATGTAAATACACACACAGTGACCCACACTCTGACCATCACGGACACACACATTTAAAAAAAATGTTTTATAGCTTACCGCAGATAAAGAGAGATGGTAACTGTGTATATCAATGCCACTTTACTGAAATAGGCAGCACTAAATGCAGCAAATTATACTCATCTGCACATGTTTTTAGTATATCAAATTGTACTATGACAACATTGTTAACTAAACAGGGTGAACAATGTGTCTAAGAATACAATTTTGCTATACAGTCACCTCATGGTGTCATGGTGAGCTGTGCCGTAAATGTCGCCCTGGAAATGACTACTCAGTGACATTGTTTAGCAGGGATATTGTACGTCATGTTACTATGTACGTTGCTAACCAAGCTCAGTCCCTCGGGTGTATATGACATCATGGATATTTGTTGGGGACAGAGAACATAAGTGGACCCAAAACAAAGGCTTTCCCTCTGCAGGCTCTGACTGAGAGCTCCTGTGTGTTTGGGCAGAGGATGGCTTTGCGTTTTCATTTGAGGCCAAGAAAGATTAGAAAATATCCTCGCAGGTCAGGTGCCTTTTTCTTGCATTTTCAAGAGCCTATTGAAGATAAAACACCCACATGCACACAAACAAAGAAAACACACACAAACACACACATGCACACTTGTGTGAGTGTGGTGAGTTTTTAAATATGAGAAGGGCTTTTGTATAAGCAGTGCAAAGGGCTAAGAGAGTAGTGTGGGTTTGTTGGATTATTTCATGACCCTATCATAACAGGTCATAGAAGAGTCTGCTTTAAATGAGAAGTAGACTCCAATACAGCAAGAAGAGCACAATGTAGGATTGTATGTTTCGTATTGGTTGAGTCAAGAACCAGACTATTTTCTTTCATGTTTAAGCATTTAAATTGACACATAAACCTTTAACAAACAAGGGACCAACGTTTTTTAAGTGATCTGTATACAAAAAGTATAGTACGGAAATGCCACGGCTTCTCTCTGTACGTGATCCTGCCATCCTGTTTGGAATAGGGCACTTTGTAGTCACCGCAAAGCTACTTGACGGGATTTGCATGCAGCGCTTAATGATAAGGTCTAAGAGGCTCATGATTGGCTGAGAGGCCCCGTGGCGGGAGTTTAACTCCGGGGTCAAAGCAATTTCATAGAGGCCTGTCATAACTAACCTTGTTAATCTGTTCCTATTACCACATGAAGGCATACGCATACACTAACAGTTTTAGCGACGCACTCTCTCTCTCTTTCTTTCTCTCTTTCACACACATTCAAACAATGCAATCAGTGACTGAGGCATGGGTTAGTTAGCTGAGTAATTTAATAAAGAGAGACTCACCTGACACAGAAGTAGAGGACAATGGGACCAGACTTCTTCGGGAACTCATGTTCTAATACCCTGCGGTCCAACTGCAGCCAACTAAAATGGCCCCTAATGAGACAAAACAGCCAATCACTGCCTTTTATTCAGGGAGATATAATTATCCAAAAAGAATACACAGAACTTATATAATTATGCTAAACATTTTCTTTGAATCTCCCCATGTTTCTTTTCCTATTTGCATGTCTTCCCTTCTGTTGCCCCCCCTTTTCTCTCCCCCTCTCCTCTCTTTTTTCTGTCCCCCTCCAACTGAGAGAAAAACTGCAGAGACAGCTTGTCACCCTGGTAACCCTGCATGGTTTCCTGAGCAACTGAGCAACATCTCTCTCTCAAGCTCTCCCTCCTTCTGTCTCTCAATCTATCATGCGTTTCCCTCCCAAACGGCCTCTTTGACCACTGAGCGGTCAGCTCTGAGGCGTCTGCTCTCCCCAGGCCCTCGGAACAAATCTACACATCATAGAATTAGTCCTGGGGGGCTAAAACTACAAAGATGATATAGCTTTGCTGGACAGACTGTGTCACAGCCATGTAAATGCCATGGAGCAGAGGCTGTTTTTTCTTGGCATCAAAGAGAGAAAACAAAAGGCCAGGTTTGCCTGTATGTAAATCATTTGTATATTGCAGGACTAGTTCGGGAACCTGCTGTGGTGTGTCTCTCTTTCTAGGTCACCAAACAAAATAAAGCTCATTTGAATGTCATTTTTGCATTTCAAGCACAGTTCTCGTACCAATCCTTCTGACAGACACAGACTTGTGATCTTTAGCTAGCCCAGAGCAGGACACTGGTAACCTTATCATAGCATCAAAGCCCTTTATAACTAGGTATCTGATCATACATCAGTGTATGTTTCAGCATGATATTCATGATCAAGGTGTTAGACTTGAATGAAGGTAGCCATCTCCTTTTACTGGCAAATAAAAGATATGTGAAAACCATAAACTGGATATCTAGGTTTTTTCTAAGGACATTTTTTTCTTATACTAAATAAACGTATACAAACATATGCTAAATACACGAAGATTTCTAAACCCATAATTCAAACTTAAACACTGTACTGTGAAATTGAGTATTTATAGTGGTGCTTTTGTTAAAACATAATCAAAGCACACACATAAACTATAAATAAAACCATGCTACTACATAATTGTCAGTTTTTTCCCCTTTGTCATCTATGGCAACCAATGTTACAGTGTAACAGGGAAGAACAAACACAATCCATCAAACAAAACAAACTTTAGACCTATTCCTGGGCTACTGAAACACCATACAGTATAGAGAGTTCACTTTCAAAGGCATTACTATTCAAATGTGACTTACGTTTCGTCTGTGTATGCAATACCAAAGTACTCCTTCTCCTTGAGGTTGAAGTGCGAGGCCACCAGGTCCAGCAAGTCCTTTGCCATCAGCTTGGGCTGCAGGGGGACAGACATATTAGTATTGCTCTCATTATAGTTTGAATTTCAGTTATAAAGTCCTGTCTCTGTGTGAGGGTACTTTATCACACTGTAGTGAAATTGGAACAAGTACATGTGTAGAGCTTTATGTTAATGTTTCTATCAGCTATTGATTAACTGCAATGACTAAGCATTCTGACAAACAAGGGGGAAAAGAGGAAAAGAGCAAGAGAGGAGGAGATACATTAGAAAGAGAGAGTGTAAGAAAGATGGAGTGTGTGGATGTTGCTGACAGTGCAGGTACCGTGCCCTTCCCCTCCCTTATTTCCGCCCATCTGACCCAAACCTCTACTGCAGAGTCATGCCTCCAGGCTCCACCATTGTATTGTAGGGAGAGGGCTGCAGCTAGCATACAAGCTTTCTAACTAGATTATAATCTGGAATACTGTCCAAGCTTTATATAATGACAACCTCCAATCATCACGACGCTCAAAGCTTGCAGAGCATCTTAAAGCCAGGCAGAGGCCGGGGACTGCTGCCATATGCTGCTGGTTTGTGACATCCTGAGTAACTGTGCACACTCCACCCTGAGGTTAACCATGGGTGTGCCTCGCTGCCGACAGTTTCATTACAGGCACACACACATTCTGCATGGACATACGCATTAAAGAGCCCATGCACAACATTCATGCAGCCCACTCACAACACACAGGAGGTACATGTGTGATGTGCTGTGTATGTTCAGGATAGGGGACAAGGGAAAAACGTACTGTGTGCAACCATATACACACACACACACACACACACACACACACACACACACACACACACACACACACACACACACACACACACACACACACACACACACACACACACACACACGTGCCATAGTGCGCACATTCTTAACAATCTCCCCCTGAGGTCCTTTACTATTTACTTTACTATTTACTTCACTGCACAACTTCAGTGACAGAAGCTACTGAGAGGAGGTGGAGGTGATGTCATACACACAGCAAGCATACATACACACATACATGTATGTACGTACACACAGAGACACAACTCCAATGACCCAGATCTCACATAACGCCTACAGTGATCCGGCAACACAAAAAAGACTCTGGAGAGAATAGAAGCTAACATATAGGCTGCATCTGCCATATAGGTGCATGTTTCACATCTGTACAAGATAAACAGTGATAAATAGGAAACACAATGGCTACTGTACTAGCTTGTTGTGTCTCTTTGATCTCACCTGACTCCAAAACCTTTCATCACTGGAATTATTAAGAAGAAACCCATAACACTTCAATAATGAATATAGAGGATGTTATTTGAAGAAAACTTTCTAATCTAAATTCACTGCAAGAATAATAAAAGGCACCTCTTTACAAGCTAAATGTGTATTTATACAATGGTTGCATGTAGTTCAATACATCCAGAGAAGGGTTTTAAGAGCTGTACTTAACTATACAGGTACTGATCTGTCTGAATCTGACAATAACTGGTATTCCCATCCACAAAGGCTTTGATTGGCTCTGTTGTTTCTCCAAATAGGAGGGCAGCAAGTCAAAAAAGCGACACTCGATCTCTTTGAAGTGCTCAAAAACTATTTAGATGTGGACATTTTAGGTCTGGAAGCAAGCTATCTTTATAGTATTAGCGGTAATACATGTTTTGGTTCAGCTAGAGACACATACACAGTCGTGGTCTCTCATTACTACACAGCAGTCAACTGCTCTGGCAACAATATCAATTAAATGACATCCGTGCCACCACAGCATAAAAAACAAAGAGAGGGGGACGGAGACACATGGACACATAAACCGTTAGAAATATGGAGATGAAATGAGCCCTAGATACAAGAAGTGCAAGACTGGAGATAAAAAATAACAGATGGACCCCTGCAAGGTTAAGCTTACTTCTTGCCTCGGCATTGTTATGAATACCAAGCAGACTGTGAAAATCTCTTTAAAAAATCACTGATAGTATAATTGAGTTTGCTTCTCCCCCTTCAAGTGACGACTCCCCCCTTCCTTACACTACAACTTATCTGTGAAATGCCAGGTACCTAGCGGATGTGTAATTACGTTGTGGAAGATACCAACAGTGATACAGAGAGTGAATGACAGGTAATAAGGTAAGTGATAGGGAACATCAAACACACTCACACAATAACTGAGGCACATTCCAGAACCATACAGATGATACTGAATATAAAACACACACACTCTATGCAGCCATCTATCAAGCAGTAAAGCTCTCTGCTAGCTTAGACAGCATTACTGCTAATAGACATTTAGCCTGTGCCTCCTCAGCAGCACAGATAATTAACAGTATGAGAATTACAGGGAAGTGCAAGATAGGAGGAGACATGCTAAAGCAAACCCCCAGACAAGTGACTAACACACAACAGTAGCTCACTCGCCTGGCTGGCTGCAAGTTACGGCCCTATCTCAGCAAAGAGCTAGCCAGGCGCCTTCAGGATTGCCCGGATTTATTTATGGGCTGCTAACTCATTTCCAAATGCCAATCCAAAAGTCCAAGGGTGGGAAGGGAAAGGATTTTTAGTCACAAGATGCCCAAAAAAGTTTTAATATTTTCAACTAGTTCTGTGTAGACACTTTTAGTGTAGCATCTTACCATTTTACATTTAAACCTTTTTGTTTTCTTCAAATAAACATTGGTGTGGAATAGTTACACTGTCACACAACTTAATAACCCATTCACTCTAACACAACTCTAACCTCAGGCAGTGATAGCCATATGACTGAAATATATGTTCACCCAGTGGAGTATTTGGGGGTTAGCTTCAATCTTTACGGCCTGGTAAAAATGCGTGTTGGCCTTCTAACACATAATTCTCAGCCAATGAGGCATTGCTCCATAAACAAGTCTATCAAAGGAAGGAGGAAGGGGATGAGGAAGAAGGAAATGTAAAATGACTCTTCTGGGATTAAACAGCTGGTCAAAGTTACAAGTCAGTGACAGAATTGAGATCCAACCTTTCAAAGGCTAGATAGCTGCCGTGCTCGGACAGGAAGTTATATGAAAACTGCAACAGGACAGACTTGACCACACTGGTTATAAATGATCAGTAGAGCACAATGGAGTATGTAATTCTGCATGAATTATCATCATCTCTTCTAGAAATCTTTTTTTTTGCAAATTAAGGAAGGTCCTGACTGCTTTCTTGGTTACTTGAAAACTAAGAATAACATTCTCTGTGGTCCAAAAACAACTTAATGGCCTACTGTACCCAATGCAGAAAACTGAGGATAGAAAAAAAGACAGCAGCATCCAGATTTTTATGACAATGGTTTGTTAATAACATCCCCTCTTCCTGACTTCTCTCTTGATAATACCATTGCCAAACAGTAAAAATACCATGTATATGTTATATTAAGTATATTATGTGGTAAACCGTACACCCCAGCGCGTGCACTACGCTCTGCATCAGCCAAACGACTCGTTGCGCCCTCGCTGCGAGGGGGACCCAAGTTCCCATCGGCGAAAACACGTGGGTTTGCTGTCCTGGCTCCAAGATGGTGGAATGAGCTCCCCATTGACATCAGGACGGCAGATAGCTTGCACATCTTCCGGCGCAAACTGAAAACTCATCTCTTTCGACTCCACTTCGAGCGTTAGAACGATTAACGAAGCACTTTTATACTAATAAAGGACTGGATTACCTAAAGCCAGTTGAGTAGCACTTGAAATGTTTGGCTCTATGAAACCTGATGTACTTATATGATTCTGTTTTCTTCAAGGTTGTGTCTTCCTGGTCGAATGTACTTATTGTAAGTCGCTTTGGACAAAAGCGTCAGCTAAATGCAATGTAATGTAATGTAATGTAAACAGAGCAGATTTTATCTCTCACACGACTTCAAGTATCTGTAAAACTCTTTACATAAAATAAAGATTACTTAAATGTTTATATTCAACTCTCGTTTTGGTAAATTCCCAGTAATTTCCTTTCTCAATGGCCAAGAGGAGGAATGGCGAGCAGAAGGGATAATAGATGGATGAGATACAGAACTGCTATAGCTGTGTTTTATATTTTCGATTTAGAAGAAGGCAGAGCTGGGGCAGGTGAAGGCTAAAATGAGCTGAGAAAACAAATGGATACTGAGACGTAGAAAGTCAAGAGAGATGGGGAGAGAGAAGAGAGTGGAAGCGGTGCAAAGACAAGTACCAATCAGTTCTGACAGAGTAATCGAATCAGAAAGTCAGCAGACCTATCCAAAGCTCTACCCTCCATTTTCTCCTCTCCATTCCCATCCCTTTAGTGTCATCTCCTGTCTCTGTATTCCTGAGCTCTCATCTCACTTTTCTTTCTCCCTCTAAACCTCTTGAGTTTCTGCGTCAATCTTTCTATATGCTCTGCTTCCCGTTCTGCTATACTGTTCCAGGGCAATTACTTTCTGTTGTCTCATTTGCAGTGGAATCGGGTCAGACCAAAGGGGGCTAAGAGATGTTAGGAAGAGTGGAAGAAGCCTCTCATGAAGAGGCTATTTACTTTGAAGCCAAACCATGAGAGGGATCTTATACATGATGAAAGTGTATGTCATCAACAATCAATGGAGAAAAGGAGGAAGTGAAGGGAGAGGGTACTTTGCAGAGAGGGCCATACATTTTATAAAGAACAAAAACTCCCCACCAAATGAAGTATGTGTTATTGTGTGATGGAAAAAGCTTTCACAAGAGGGTTTAACCCTGGGTGTATAACATAAAGCAGACCAGAGCAGATCTACAGTATTAAGTAGCTATCTACAAAGGGTGCGGGCTTTACATGGCGAACAAGGGATAGATGGGCGTGCATTGGGTGCTGCTACTAAGTTGGTCATTACTGCAGAAAGGCCTGCTGGGTAAAATTGAAGGCTGAAAGTAGGGGGGAGGGGGGCAGCATGCAGCTTTGTTTTTCCTGGACAATTGGAGGATTGCATGGAGCTTTGTAAATTACACAGAGATATGTGCAGGATAAGAAGGAGCATTGTCAATTACACAAACAGTTGATGTTTTCTGTTAAATCATTCTGGGCATTTCTGATGCATTCTGGGAAGGCAGTGGGGATGGACGATGAAGATTGAGCATTGAAGCATGAGTTTAGGAGGAAGAGTTTATTTTTAGGACATTATTAGGACTGAACTCATTGCTTCTACAGGGATGGTAAATCAGGGCATGGTCTGCTGCATGCACGCTTGTGTGTATGCAGTGTGTGTGTGTGTGTGTGTGTGTGTGTGTGTGTGTGTGTGTGTGTGTGTGTGTGTGTGTGTGTGTGTGTGTGTGTGTGTGTGTGTGTGTGTGTGTGTGTGTGTTGAAGGATCAGGTGAGCATTAAGAAAAAGCAAAGTCACCTACTGCTGACCAAATTTCCCTGGGTCAGCAGTAACCAAGTCTCTGAGGACACCACACATTGCATATTCGCTCTAAGGAAAGGAGAGTTTGCAAAGAGAGAGGGAAGAAAGATGGGCGCGTGGAGGAGAGACTCACCTGTACAAGCAGCTCCAGCTTCCTGTCGTCCAGCAGATGGACCTGACATCGCCTCCCCTCCGTCATCTGAGAAAAACAGACAAAAAGGAACAAGGGATTCCAGTCAAAAATGTGTTTAAAGATATTACATGTTATATTAATATAGTTTAAAAGTAGGGTGTTAAATGGATCAAAATAATTCAATTAGTTGGAGCAAGTATCTGATTACAAAATATGCATACTAAGTCATTTGTCAGCAGCACGCCAGTAGATTGTATAACGACAAATATAACAACAGTTTTGAGGTATTTCTTGCTTGCTACGTCAATATACTTTCTAAATCTGGAAAGTCAATGTGTGGAGGGGTGGCAGTAACTCTGCTGGTTTTTACAAAGTTATGAAAGCAATGTTAAAATCAAGTCTGATGTTAGCTTACACAAAAGAGTATGGTCCCAGTCTCTTCAACACAGTGAGACACAAAGCAATATACGATACAGACTGTAAGATTGGTATACAACAGATACTTATCGCCCAGGTATTGGAACTGGGACTAAAAAGTTGTATTGGTGCATTGCTAGTTATCTCAGTGAATTCTTAATAAGGTTAGCTGAACCCACACAATGGGCCAATAGGGACAACGTCCTGCGCTGTTCTCTACCTCACTGACATTTCTAGCATTCCTTCTTGAGCAGGAAATCCATTATCCATCAGTGGACTTCATTGACCACAATAAGTGAAGTTGCACGCTAAAAATCGTAACTTTTTTTTCTCTGCGCCGTTGATACAAAGTTTACAGAGTAGAGCCGCTAATAAAGTGATAATCCGTCTGCCAAATTCAAGTGTAAACACTGAAGCAGGTGCAATGGTTTAATAGTCAACTGTTGTAAATATGCGCCACATAGGCCTACACACAAGTAAGATAAAACCTGTTACAACTGAAAAACCCAAGCCAATTATTCAAAGCTGTCTTAAAATGTGCTTGCAGGGTAAAATGTAAACAATCACAGTAGGTTGACAAATTCAAAGCAGAGTATTTAGCATTTGTCTATTTGTGTTTTCTGGTGTTTTCAGCACATGTGGAGTCTCTCTACAATTTTCACAGGAAGCGGCGACCCCGAGGAACACAAATACCCCCTGGCTCCTCCCACATCCCCCTCACATCTGGAAAATGGGGAGGGACACCAGGGGGAGGTGTGTAGAGGGGTAACAATTGGAGAAGGGGAAGAAAGAAAGGTGGATAGACATAATCATTGTCAAAAATGGAATGAGAAAGCCCTTCCAAACATAGATGCCATAAACACAAGCGTAACCGGTTTGTAACTCTTCACCACACGGATCACATTGGCCACCTGAGGGACTTGCAATTTGGTAAGGGTGTGTCCACAACATGAGAATAACATACTCTTACTTTCTCACCGCTTATGCCAGCTTGCATCCAGGTGGCAGCTTTAGCAGAGAGCTGAAAATACCAGAGAAATAGAGGGAGAGGAGTGACAGAGTTGTGTCTTAACACTCATCTCTGTGTGAACTCTGCTGAATGATTACTGGGGTGTGTGTGTTGGTGTGTACATGTGTGTGAGTGCAGCTTCTAGTACTTTGAAGGGTTTGGTTTGCCCTCCCTCTCACCATTGATCTCCTGTGGTTTGAGGGTTTAAGATTGGGTGCACCTGTGCACACATTAACACACACACTTCAATATTTATTTTGTTTTCATGTCCTTTCATGGAGTTACATTATCTTTCCAAAACGTTTCATGTTTATACTGTATACACTGATTTAAGTGGTACTGTCATGGCAACTGAGTGGAAGATCATATGTGTAAACATGATTATTTCCAGACAAATATAAAAAGTATAGCAATCCTGAGATGCTATACAATGTTGGTGCACAGTTATTATGCAAATATTTAATTTCAGTTTTCTTTTTTTGCTGGCTAAACTCATTTATTTATTTATTGTTTAGTTTGGAGAAGAAGAGAGGGCTAGAGTACTGACCAAACATCCTACTGTACTTTTGTATTTTGCCTGCAGAATACCTTTAACTGCAATGCAGACAGAGAACACACATATACCCACAAACACACTCACTCTGCTTGAGACACCTGGGAATTGTACGAACCTTAATGTCAAGGTAACAAATCACTGGCTTCAGGCTAATATTAGGGAGCTCAATCTGGCAGAGACAGACGCTTATTGGTTTTAGTCCTGAAATTCACTTTGTGGGATTGGACACATGCTACTGAGTTTATTTCCACCATGAAACCAAATGCAATAAAGTTTCTATGAATAGCTTCTACCAATTACACTCAATACAAAAAAGGAACATGTGGAATATTGCTGCACCATGAGACAGTGAAGACAGATATTTGTACCTGCTATTTTATATATGATAAAAACCACTGAATATATTTACAGCATCTTTGCTCTAACCAATGCATGCTGTGGACATTACATCCGAGATAAAATAACCTGGGAGAAACATAGGCAAACACATGTGGTTTTGCCCTGGTGTGTGATTCATTCTGCATGTAACCCATCAACATTTCTTACCCATTACTAGTCAGGGTTGTATTGGCCAAGAAACAACCTTCTTCCTGACTCATTGGCATGAAACGGTGATATCAAAAGACAAAACGTGACAATGAACAATGAATAAAGCAGCCATGTTCAAAATGCTTAATTATGTTGCTGGAGCTGACACCCAAATAGCAGACACACACACAAACAGTTAGCTGACAGTGATGCCTGTGCCACTGCTGGCCACAGCACTAACGTTATCATTAGTTAGTTACCTTGCAAACAAACGCTCCCTGCAATGCTCCCACACAAAAACCGGCTGCAAGAGCAGAGAAAAATATTCAAAAAACCAAATGATTAATCCCAGAAAGAAACGAGTCGTGTCACTGCCAGAACATCGTCAAAAAACACCCGTTTTCCCGGCTGGCCTAGAGGAGGAGGCACATCAGCATCCATGTTACTGACCATTAGTTAACGTTAAGCGACGCAGCTCTCTTTAGCTCCCTTCTATTCACCAGAGACGCTACATCTCAGGTCCTCGCTTTCTAGTGTTGAGACAATTTGGCGACCGTGCAGCCTCTTCCACGGCTTGCTCTCCTCCCTCCTTCCGAAGTCAGTGAGCTTCTCACGGGTCTAGTCCTGGTCGACCAACCCCCCTCTATTCTCTCACCGGCACCGTGCACAAACGGTGAGTGAACGTGCGGATAGCGCGAGACCGTACCAACGGTCAGCAACCGAGGGGGACGAACGGAAGAAACGGTTAACGGTCGAGCGTATTCCAGCCTGCCTTCACTTCCAGCTATGTTACTCGCTGTCATCAGAGTTGCTTCGAAAACACGGGAATAATGGAGGCAAGATGTGGGGGCGGGGAGAGGAGGAGATGAGGGGACATTTTCTGCAGCAGCAGCTCACAGCCATGAGAAACTGCAGACCTCTCTCTCCCTGCTGTGTGTGTGTGTGTTTGTGTGTGTGTGTGTGTGTGTATGTGTGTGTGTGTGTGTGTGTGCCTACAAACCCAAACAGACATCTGTGTCTGCAGAGCACATTAATACCCTGCCTTTAAAGTGATGCACTGATACCTATGAGCAGTTTGACACACTGTGCCTGCTGTCTAAAATCAGTTGTATTTACAGAAATTAGGCTTTGTGAGGGAGATTGAGCTGTATCGGAAGACCCTTCCCTCCTATGTTTTATTACTTTACAGCAACATAGGTTTGTGTTTGATAGATATCCATAAGCCTAAAATGGCTCTGCTAAAAAGTAGGAGATTATAAGAACTTTACATCCCTGGTTCGGTCTCTATCTTTCTAGCCTGTCACTTCCTGACTTCTCAGGTTTACTGGCTTGGGTGACTCTGTCCTTCATTCCACTGCAGCCGTTGGACTGACTGTTTTTTTTGTTGTATGACCTAAATTGGGCACTTGTGTTCACCTTATGCAGCTGCAGCTGCAGCAGCAGCAGCCGTTGAGACCACCAGGTTGTAAACATAACAAAATCAGTCCAGTTTGTGGTACCATACATAGATACCGCAGTGTGGGCTTTGAAAGCAGAGCAAAGCCTATACCCACTGTCAGTAAAGTATTTGTAAAACTCAGCAAGCGTAGGCTTGTCTATTATTGTTTTACAACATGAGTAATCCCCACATGATGAATACAGTGAGGCCACATGTAGCACATGAACAGTATGCATACTAGTACAATCACGCTAAGCAGTCATCATCAAGGATACTTGACCAATTTTTGTCTAAAGATAATCTTTTCTTTTCAGATCAGTCTGTCAGAAAATACAGTTTGTCTAAACCAAATGCAGTTGCACAATATTTGAAATACAACAGCCGATTTATAGTCCTACATTTGCAGGATTCATCTGGAATTCTCCATTCCCAGACATTAAGCAAAATGAAGATGCAATTCAATGTAATGTGTGCTTGGCTTGAACAGTTTTGTTGCTACCAAAGCTTATGCTGCAGGCCCAGAATTCAGCTTATTTTGCTGAATGTAGAAGGTCACATGAGAAAAGAGGAGGTGTATCCTTTCCCCTCCCTGCTGGATTTGTCTGTTTCTGGATATTTTGGCCTGTTCCAGACACCGGAAACTGGCCTGTCCAACTTAAACATCTCCAGATGACTCTTTCTTTGGCTTTAATACACACACCCGTTCCTCCTTCGCTTTCTCCGGTCAAATACATATCTCCCTTTATTGGTAACTTCCTCAGTTTGCTATCACAAGGGGCCTGTTGTTTGGCCAATGCATGTGAGGGAGAGAGAAGGGGACAATGCAGAGGGGGAATGGGGTAAACTGACAAAGAAAAAAAGAGGAAGGCCAACAAATGCACTAGGAAGATCCTGAACACTTAAACTCCATGAGTTTTTGAATGATTTTTCCTGTTTGGAATGGATGTTAGGAGCTCCAGTTACCAATGGGAGACAGCTTCACAGAGAGGAAAAGGAAGGAAGAAAGGAAGCAAGGCAGGAAGGAACAATAACAAACAGCTGTGATTTAGTGAGCCTCGCCATGGCCCTTAACTTCCCTAACTTTTACATGGTCACCTTTCAATGACCTACACAGGGTG